TGGGGGCGGGGTGGGGAGAGGGGTAACAGCAAGAGCAGCCAGTTGGCCTTTCTCCAGCATTTAAGGGAGCACCTTGTTAATTGCCTGCTGGAACAGAACCTAGAGTGGGAGGAGGCTGAACCACCTGCAAACCCTCTGATTTTCAAAGACTTATTGCATTCCTAGTATATGCCAGGCACGTGCCATATTTGTAAGCCAACACCCACGATTTATCCGTTACCAGCTGGATTCCCATAGCACCCTGGGTTGTAACTGGGTTAAAGGCCTGTCTCTTTTCTCTTTTCCCAGTTCCCTGAGACCAGGACCAGTGTCCTGCCTGGAGTATCCCCAGAGTTTGGCACACGGTGATAGCCAGCATTCACTGAGCGCCAAAGGGCCAGGCGCTGCCACTCTCTTAAAATAAGCTCTGTCATTTACTGAGCACCTAGTCTGCGCCAAGCACTGGGACACTAAGCCCACGACTCCCAGAAAGGTCCCGGTGGACCCCCGTGCGCAGCGGGACGCAGCGGGCGCCAGGGACCGCAGTGCCCCGGGCCCAGCGCTCTTCTCCAGGTGCTCGCCGTGGAGGCAGGTTTAAAAGGCAGGAGCCGGAAGCCGTCTCGGCGCCCAGATGGCCGAGAATCGAGTCACCAGGTCACTGGGTCACCGATGGGGGCGAGGACACGGGCCTGGGCCGGTCAGGGGGGCGGGATCGTCACCTCTGGCTCAGGGGCCCCTCATTCCCGGGGCCCCCTCCGTCCAGGCAGGGGGCGAAAGTGAGTCTTCGCCTGAGGATTGACGGTCGCTGGAGGTGGTAGCCATTGGGAGTTACACTAATCCCGCGAAGGGTGCGCGGAGGGGGGCGGCAGCCCTTCCCAAGAAGAGAGGCAGGCCGGCCTCCAGCGCCCCCCGCCCACGAGCACGTCCTTGCCCCCGGGATGTTGTTCGCCGGCTCCGGGATCTCCCTCCCGGCGACCCCGGCCTCGCCGACACTCACCCTTCAGTCCCGGGTGACTCAGAACGCTCGCCCGCCGGCCGCACCAGCGTGGCCTCTGTGGGGGCGGGGAACGCAATGAGGGGCGAGGCGCAAGTGTCAGGTTGCTGGAGAGGCGGGCCCGACAGGGCGGAAACCACCGGTGCGGGTGACCGGAAGCCCCGCCTCCAACATGGCCGCGCCCACGGGTCTCTTTGGAGGCCGTGTCTTTACCGTCATGTGACGCGAGCCGTCGCCCCACCCGTCTGCAGCCACTCCCGTTCTCAGTCCCAGAGCTCGAGAGGGCCACGTGACCGTCCCGGGACCAGTCACGTGAGGCGCAGATCCTGGGTGGGAGGGGGTGGTAGAGGGGTCCAGAGTGGCAGTAAAGGAGGAAGATGGCGGGGTGCAGGGGGTCTCTGTGCTGCTGTTGCAGGTGGTGCTGCTGCTGCGGTGAGCGTGAGACCCGCACCCCCGAGGAGCTGGTAAGGAGCAGGCGGAGCCGGGCTGGGGAGGGGGCGGTTGCTAAGGGACTGCGAGAGGCGTTGCCGGGGGTGGGGCCGGGCCAATCTGGGCCCGCAGGTGGCAGCCGGTGGGGTCTGGGGACCGCAGTCCCGGCTTTCGAAGCGTCTACCCTGCTTCACGTGCCTAAGTCTGGGGTCTTTTCTCATAACCCCTCCTGGAATCTGAGAGAGAATCCAGGCCAGCTCCAGTAAATCCCACCCATGTTTCCTTTTATTTCCATCTGAAAAGAGTTTGGAATGAAACAAGCGTTTTCAGAATGAGCTTCCTCACAGGACTTTGTGCTTATCATGCTGCTGTTTTAGCTTCTGCAGTTCTTTCTTACTCTATCCCTCACCCTTTCTGGGTCACTGACAGTCCAGCTTCCCCTTGCAAAGCGTCCTGGGAAAACCCGAGTTGTGTTCCCAGAGTTGACAAGCCCTTTCTGATTTCAGATACGTCACATTGTCAAATGGAACCTGAATTTTTACTCCCCTCTTCAGCTGGCATTGGACATCTTTGAGGTGTCCTGAGGAGGAGGGTGGTTATTTGGAGATTCTATGAGTGGAAATGATAGAGCTCAGCTGATGGCTGTAGATCTCACCCACATGGTCCCTCACCTCCGAAAGGTTTTTTTTAAGGGCTGATTCCTATTTGATAATGGCTCCAGGTGATGTAGAAGCTAGCCACTGATTTCAGTAAATACTTCTACCTCCTTCCACTCTTAACCACTAAAAAGGGCTCCCTCTGCGGATCTGTTTTTCTAGACTATCCTTGGAGAAACACAGGAGGAGGAGGATGAGATTCTTCCAAGGAAAGACTATGAGGTGAGCTCCTTTGATACTGCTTGGGTAACTAAAGTAGTGAGTGGCCTGGTCACTTCAGGCCGAAACATTATGATTCCAACCAGAGACGCTGTTTGACCTTCTGTCCCAGGGAATGAGTGAGTAAGAAAACTTGCTTCTGGGAAAGAGACTGTTTAGCAAGCCCTTTTCTCACCTTAACCCCAAAACAAAGTCTAGTGTTTTTACACATTTATAAATCTGTGGCACCTTAATCTGGATAGAGTATGTATTTGCCATTAAACTGTTTGCTTTTACAGCTTACAGAGAGACCTAGAGTGAAAGGCACTGGCAGTATGTGCTCCTAACAGGTGTGTGCTCATAAACTGTTAAGGAGGCCTTGCTTCTCTTCTAGGAGAGCTTTCTTTTCAGATATTTTCTTGCTCAAGCAGCTTGTCTCTGACATGTTCTTGAAGTTGAAAGTTGAAGTTCCAACTTTCATGTATGGGATTCTTAGAGGGTGTGTTTTTAGTAAAACCAACACTTCCGGGGGAAACAACATGCGTGACTTTTTATCATTAAATTCTTAAACTGTATACTTAAAGAAGGTAGACAAAAGCCAATAACCCCATTCATTAAAAGATGACTGTTAACACCTTACTAAGTATCTTTCTACATCCTTACCCATGCTTTTATATATATGATACACGCTTTTTTTAAGTAACAAAAATGAGATTCCACTAAATCATCTATTTTAACCTGTGCCACTCACCACCTTTATTATACTTTTTGTATCACTAGGTAATTTTCC